TATATATAATTATAGTATAATATAATATATTTTACATTGTTCTAGTGAAATCTTATGACTTGCAGCTCTTAACAATTATCGATGAAAACAAGATCAATATAAAAATATTTTTAATTTTTCTCAGTAACTTATAAGTGATGTTAAAACTTTCTTTTGTAGTCTATTTAATAACATGGATGTTATACTTCGTAAAACAAACTTTAATTAACAAGATTCTAAGAAGAGTTTGTCTGATAAAATATAATATAAATAATGAACTGAAATGCATAGAATTAATTAGGTTATGACCCAGGCTCGGAAGTTATAGCACTAAAAATGTTATTTTTTAGCTCTTAAATATGCACTTAAAAACTCTAAAATGTGCACGATAAATATCACGAAAAATAAAAAAATATACATTTAGGTTGAGAAAATTATAAATTTATTAGAAAAAAAATGAAATGTAATTTTACAAATTTTTGGGCTCATAGACGTCTGGATTGGTTGAATTATAAACTTACAAAAATGTTAAATTACTTAAATATATTTGTAAAAATGTACTTATAATTAAATTATTTTATTTAGTCACTAACTATTAATACATAAAATTTTCAATGAAAACATAAAATACTATTGGATGAGGTGTATTTATTTTCAATAATTCAAATATTTTTAAAACTATAACTAATTAAATCATTATTATTAACAGCATTTGATTATTTCTAGTATTATGTGAAAATATACCCAAAAATAGCAAAAGTAAATGTTGTGTATGATATCCGAGCAGTATGAAACATATGTGTATCTTACTTTGGATGTTCTAGGATAAACCAAGAAAAATAAGCATTTGTTAAAACTTCCGAGCCCTGGTTATGACTATCTATTTATTCACATAAAGCACAATCATATTTTTTTATTGAAAACATAGTTTAAGTACCTTTGGTATTTAAGTACATTAAATGTTTATTTCGTATGGGGAAAACTCTGATACAGCTAAATAATAAAAGTAGTTATAATTTATCGAATTTAGTTATAATGTCACGCATTTTAATATATGTATACGGCTAAAAATATAATATAGGTACATATAGGTACATTAAATATCAGTTGATATAATGGTTTTTTTATTTATAAAATACATTTTTGTGTGCTATTAATTATAGATTATCTGTATAGTATCCAACTTAAGTAAAATTATTTCAAATACATAGGTTAGTTATTCAAAACAGCTTAATAGGTGCAAAGTAATGATTTTAAATTTATCAGCATTATGATTTTAAGTGTTTTTTTTTTTTTTATTGTAAATGATTGAGTGTAATTGCTTTTATTATTAGTTATTCTTTTAAATATAATATAAATAAAATAATAGTTGCAACTACTCAAAAAACAACAGCCTGAACAAGAAATCAGAGATATAATTAAATATTTAACATAGAAAATTATAATTTATTATTTTATTTTAAAGTGAGGTATAGGTAATATATTAACTTTATACTTTCTATATGATTTGATATAGAATCTAGATAATAGATTTGTCTTCGGTGTTATTTTTTTCTTAAAAATTACTATTGTATATGTTAATAATGTTAAATAAACTTGTATTGATCTTTATTCAGATATCATTGTATGTCATACATGAATTATGATTGAATGTTTTGAATTATATTGTATTTTACAATGTATCATAATATTCAACTGCATAAATTTAGCTCGTTTCATGATCTCGAGTTTATAAAGCATCAGGATTATGTATCCCAAACTTCCGCTACATACTCTGCAAACTATAGATCTATACAAATGATATTCTTAAAAACTCATCAGCACACGTCACTTGAAACGATCGACTACTTTTTTTAATCTACTATAGTATATTCTTATATATTTTGTTTTGTATTCAGTAAAACTTTTACCTTACCTTGAATTGGATTTGGTGAAAAATACAACGCATATTACAAATTTTGTTGTATATTATGGTCATCATGGTCATTCATCATTGTATTCTTAATTTACCTAAGCTTTCTAATGTAAGGTAAATCTTTGATTTAAACTTCATTTTAAAATGTGTGTCTTGTAAAATGTATTTTTCTTTATTATTGACATACAAAGATTTTAATGTCCTAAACATATATCAGATATAATACAATTTTATTGTTTTTATTGTATTTCATTAAATAATTATTTTGGGGTTTTTAATTTAAAATTTAAAATTTTCATATTGTAGTTACCATTATACATGAGCTATATATTTATTGCTGTATTTATCGTTTTGTTATCTTTTTTCTTCCTCTTTAATTGATTGATCGATAAAAATAATGTAATATGAGTTTATTTTGAACACTTTGAAGTTGTTAGAATTCGTTGGACTATTATAAATATTCAAAATATAACATTTATGTGTTTATATATTTAATTTATGTATTATATAACATTATATTTGAATATTGTAATCAAATGCATTAGCACGATAAAAATAGTTCACCCAAAACAAGTCTTTAAATCTAATAGTTTATGATTTTGGAAGGGAATAATAAAACATTTTTGTCATCATAATATTTATAGTATATGAGTATATAAGTACGAATTTAGTATATTTATAAGTTTATTACTTATTATTAACTTAAATATTACTGTACACTGTACAATGTACAGTGTATGATCATCGGAAATTATTATAATTCAAATTGAGTACCTAAATAGATCCTCAAAATCGCATCCATATATTTGCATTATCCAGTTCTCACGAGTACCTATTTCAATCTTTGTATATTAAAAGTATCTAGAAACTATGATATTAGTTACTTGATACCTATAGTTATTTAGTATACCTATAGTATTATTTTAAACTTATCTTAAAGTTTAACATTCTCAATTCATTCTATATAAGGTGTAAAAATAATAACTCGAACCAAAAATATATCTATTGTATAATATGGATAAGAATAGGGTTGTGTCAGTGAAAATTGGTATTTTTTGAAAAAGCTTAATTTTTATTGGTATACAAGCCGTGGTTAATTTAATTATTATTATTCAAATGCGTAGACGGTTACATTACACATAACAGTAATTAAAATAAATGTCCACTGTGTATTATTGTTTAATCAACGCTTTATCTAACAAAAATGTACGCAAAAGCGATAAAAGTAATAATTACTTTTGTGTGATTGTATTACCTGCACTTGTAATAGTAATAAAAAGATTCGGTGTACGCATAAATTGTAATTGATGAGAAACTTTGAATTCAACGTAAGACGGTTAAAAAAAAAAAATAAATAAATAAGTCCTCAATTGTTTAAGTACGGCGGTTGTTGGACGAACAATATGACAAGTCATCGCAATTAACACGGTACAACGTACTTGGGCGTTTTCATTATTCGTCAACAGTTTATCATTTGATACACCAAGATGATACGATATGATATACATTGCACGTCTCGGATAATATTTTCAAACGATCGGATTTCAATGGACGAACGACTCGTGTTGAACATGGACGGACGTATATATATATATATATGTATGATAAACATTATATATGTATATATATTTTGTGTACGCCTATACTAGGGACCTAAAATGTTCAATTTTTCGATCTACACACTAAATTAAAAAAAAAAAAAAAAATAGAACCTGTGATGTATTCTGCGGTTAAAGATAAGTCTTCTGAAATTAATTTGAAAGAGTCATAAAAATGATGTGATTTTTTTTTTCTATATTGAGTGTAAGCCGAAATCCTATAGTATTTTGTGCATGCGATTAAGCGCTTTTGTGACTTCAACGAATAGGATTTTAACTACACATTCATTTTTGTTTATGGTCTTCCAGGAAAATGAGAACATTTAAAATAACTCTCATAGTTGTAAAAAAATATGTTTGATCAATTTTTCTTTATTGGAAACAGAATCTACATTATATACCATTATGAGTTCAAAAGCTAACAATTTCGTGTATTAAAATGAATATTCCTGTAAGATGGTGTCCATTTGTACGTATAAATTCCTGAAATGAAAATGACACTCATCCAACTTTAATACGTTGTCAAAAAAACTGGGATCATCGGTTATTTTTTTTATATTTTTTTCACTAGACCACAATAGTCGTAATCGGTTGCCTAGTATTTTCTGCACGGTTTGTATTTTGAAGGTATTTGAAAGAGCACACCATGTCAGCGATATGCCAATATTTAGGAATGCATGCGTACACCGTCTCACGGGAATTAACGGAAATCTAATCTGTGATTACCTATATAAAAAATTATGAACAGATTACAAAGATTACACTACTACTCGATCGGTCCATAAACTGTGATGTGTTTAAATGTAGATAAAATATTTCTTAATACTGGTAAAATAAGAATCTAATATAGATCACATATCAATAATTAATGATAATTTATTGTATTCTTTTAACAGTCAACAATTTAAAGCCAGATTCGTAATTTATTATTTTAATCATATGTATTTTATTAAATGTTATGCCACTCCTCTTAAAAACCGTTTCAAAATCATCCTATTCTACCACTCGTCATCGAATTAGATGCAACTCTGCCACAACAAAAAGTGCGCATGCATCGCGGTGCACATAATTTTAGGATCTACCCATGTCGGCATACAGTGACTACTACTCTCCTTCTATCATACGTCAACGTTTTTCATGGACATCCCCAAATTCTTCTATTCTTATTGATAACAATTATTTCCTCAACTATCAAAAAAAAGATAATAATAATAAGAGATGGCACGTCTTCGACGCTGTCGTTAATTCATTGACTTTTGCTTCAAATTCAAATGTTGACAGACATGATGCTATCGGAATCGAGATTTATCCACTCTTCCCGCGTATGAGGTACTTCAATATTTCCTTCCCACCCTTGGACTGCTGACATCATGCTTGAACGCTTCCTTGTGTAAGGAACACGTGTGCACGCTAACCGCAATCGCGGCCACGGAAACGCGCCTATACGATGGCTCCAAGCTCTTCGATTAATAATGGGGTTTTTTTTTTTTTTTTGTTTTTCTTTCCAGAGGAATTCGCCCTTCGCGCGAGGAATGCATCGGGCCGGTGCAACCAGCGGAGGCGGCGGCGGCGGCGGCGGCTTCGGCGGTATCATGATCGGTCGGTCCAGCGGCGGTCGGGGCGCGGGCGGTGTCAGCGCGATCCGATGCGTTTCGAAAACCGCATTCTAAATATAAAATCGCCAACGGACGGCGAAGACGACGTGTCGTCGGTGGCGGCGGTGGTGGTGGTGGTGGTGGTGGTGGTGGTACGGACGTGCTGCGAGCGACGGCGTATTGTCGGCGGCTGCTGCTGCTGCTGCTGCGTGTAAATTAAATCGCGTCGCGCCGCGAGACGTCGTCGAGTCGCGAGAGACGGGCGGACGGGACGCGCGAACCGGAAAACTTGACGGTTTTCGAATTCGTCACCACACACGTGGCGGGGGTGGGATTTTCGCGTGATCCGAAAGGGGAGTAGGAAAATCCAACGGAAAACACTCACCGCCGCGTTCCGCATCTCTCCTCGCGTTAAGCCACCCGGCGACAACCGAAACACGTCGACACAACAATATCGACACCGGTCCGAGCACACTTCGTGTAATAGAAACGTTATCGCCGTTATCGTCCGGGCCGTTCCGATCGTGCGTGATAACGTCCCGGTCGACCGACGACGGCCGTGTGAATTCTGCTGCTGCTGTTGCTGTTACCGATCCATCGCACCGCAGCCACATGACGCACAACAGTAAGACTTCGTTGCTCAACAACGCTGACTACGACGGCGGCGGCGGCGGGGGCGGGGGCGGCGGCTCGGTCGTCGCTTACGGCGGCGCACCTCACGTGGCCGCCCGACCTACCACATGGATCAGGTGAGTGTCGCCCGTCGTAATTATGATATTACTGTACCTCCAGTGTTTATTTCAATAATTTTATCTCCTGGGGAGGGTTTTGTAAATGGTGTTTTAGGGGTATGAGAAAAAGAACAAATGAGATGAGTAATACTTTTGGTATGTTTTCTATGATGATAATATAATAATAATTTACTCAGGAGCTATGACTCCTCGCTTATTATTCCCTATTACTTATTATTATTATTCCCTTATTCTATCCTTATTATTCCCTATTACCTAATAACCATTGATTGCTAAGCATCGAGCTTTCCATCATAATACTACTCAGACTTCGGGCTCGAAACCGTTTTTTCCGATAATCGGAAACATTTTATTTTTCTTCTTCGAGTAATTTACTCTCCCCCTTCTTCAAAGATGTTGTCTCTTGGTTCTTCTTGCATTTTGTTCGTGATGATTATTATCCTGTTCAGTAGTTTTCAATTCAATGTGCAGAGGTCCTAGACTGTGAATTATTATCGGTTAACAGTCGGACAATGCAACATGATAAGAGCAACGCATAGTTATATGGAATAAGGGTAGGGGGTGATATAGTGATCGCTGTTTTATTGCAAGTACCACGTTTCGTTCCCAACGGATGTTTGAAAATACTCTCATTGATCGAGAATCATTTTCGAATAAAATTAAGGCTATTTTTTGGAAATGCATTTACAATTTTTTATCAGAAAACAATAAATTTCATAACAATACACGCCTAGATGAAATATATGTATAGAGCAGGTACATAATTAAAAGGGAGGTAGGAACGACCACCATATCCAATGATCGTTTATTAGTCACTACGAATTAAAATATACAGTATATACCACTTCGTTATACATTATTTGAGCATCATTTATATCGAAGAAGGTTAAGCGCCCCCCTAAAATAAATACCTATTTACATATGAGATACAGACTTACTGATTCAATTTACCGCGGAACACACGTGAACGAGTGAAGGATAAGATAAGATTTGTATATGTATTTCATCTGGTTTATTCATTATTCACTATTGAATCTTCCTAAAAAACCTAATGTTATTATGTTATTGATTTTTCCCCAATTTTCGAGTATCGGGGTTTGAGATATCGTGATTTAGCTGATATATTACTATTATAACAAAGTTATTTTATTATTGTCACTCTTGACCTTTGAAGAAGGAGAGTAATTTTAGAAAGTTTTTCTGTAGAACAACAGTTTTATTTTGGTATATAGTAAAGAAAAAATGTTTTTATTATTTTACCGTTTTTGACTGTGAACAATTTTACACCTTTAAACCATAGAGGTCATAACAATTTTACATTAAATTAAGAGGGACATTACAAAAAAGTTTGAAAAACACGACTTGAGATTTATGCTGTTTTTGATCGACACTAATTGCTACAAAATATATAACATCTGACCCATTATTTTACTAAGTACATTTGGTAAACTTTTCCTTTTTAGATTAAATATAATAGCAAAAAAAAAAATTAAATCTTATGCATAACCTTTTTTTTTTTTGATAAATACATGGTTTTATATTTTATAAACGGATCAAAGAAATTGTATATTCTGTCCTGTTGATTAAAGAAGATTTGCTATTGAAACATATTAATTTATAAAATAATTATTTTAATTAATAAACACCTACTTACTAAAAATGCAGACTTTATATTAGTCAACTAAAAGAGTAATAATAAAATTATAATATCCTATTTTTTTAGTAGCTAAAAATATAAAAAAATTTCTGCTTAATTATTTCGCCATATGTTTGTGTAAATGTTTGTATTTTAGAATTTCTATTGCACTGAAATATGAATTATCGCATTGTAAATTATCTCACTAAGTTATTAACATCATCTGTTCTATACGGCGAGAGAGTCCAAAAATTAAATTTAAACTAAACAAATAATATCACTAAAAATTGTTTAAAATGGTTAGTCGTATATTTCTATTAATTTGTAATAAAAATAATAACTAAAACATTAAAATTCAAGTTTGTTATTCACAGTATTAACTATTAATACTACTTCGTACTAACTCGTTAATAACTTGTTTTATTTTATTTTAGTAGGTTATGTTAAATATAAATATATAAATGAAATAAAAATGTATATTTAAATGATAATATTATAATAGTTTAAACATTTTCGTTTTTCTGATTTACAGTCAAAGTCAATGTTTATAATTTGAAGAACATGTTATATAAAAATACCTTCATGTTAAATAATTAATCATATTTGTATTTATAGTTCTATTACCGAAAAAATGTCACATATATATACATAAATGACATAAATATAACTAATTTACTTCGTATCATGATTTTTTCTTCAAAATAAAAAAAAATTCATAAAAAATGGCCCAAAAATGCACTATAAATAGAAAATTATTTAAAATTAATTTTCAATTAAATTTTTATAAAACGATCATGTTCATTTTGCTTGTATTAGATTTTTTTTTCTTGATTTAGTTAAAATGGAATTATTAAATCGTAATAAACATGCTGTACCAATAATTTAAAAATGGTATCGTCTATAATATAAATGACATATATTTTATAATAGTACTATTATAGTTTTTTAAATTATATTATTAGTTTAAATATTAGTTTATTTGAGAAAAGTTCTCTGCGGCGAAACTGAAAATGTTTAAAATTATTACAACTTTTCGGAATAGAAATTATATATTTCTTTTATAATTATTATATTATTCAATTTAATTTAATTAGTTTAATTATTTAATTATATATATTGTACACTTAATTTTATTAAATCGTTTTCGAACATATGCACTTTAAAATGCAATGCTTATTTTTACAAAAATTATATTTTTTCTTAATTTATTTTTAGTTACACTTCATACGGAATTTTAGAGACGTCAATTTAATTTCATAAAAAAATTAAGTGCGATACTTATCAAAATGATTATTTATGATCAACATAAACTTTTGTATGAATTCAACAATTTGAAATATGTCAACTATTTGAATGCTGGCACTTCACACTCGTTTGGTTCTATTATTCCATTTTTAAAATTTCGAATGTCTCTTCGAGCTGTTATGGAAATATCATAGGATAAATAATAGGGTGATGGAAATAATAAATACTTGAAGATAACAACATACATAAGCAGAACTTAAAAAATTAAAAGTCTTGAACTTTTTTATAATAATGAAGGAAATTTTAAAATAATTTATTTTTATTTTAAAACTACCCAGAACAAATAAAAATGAAAAATAATATTTTTCAGTAGAAAAACGTTTTCTCATGGAAGCTGTTCTCACTAGTTATAAGCCAATATAATAGGCTTGTTCGTTTAGGAAAAAAAGTGTACACTAATTAGTGTAGTGTCTAGGTGAAGTGTAAGGGGTGTGATCAGATACCCGTCTTCAAAACAAACGGTTTTGGTGTAGATTAATCAGCTGATCTTTTTTCATCAATTTTAATCTTTGATAATAATTTATTTCTATTGGTAGTAGAATTGAACAATAGTTAAGTAAACTTTTTGTATAATATAATAAAAAAATATCATAATATGGTATTTTTAAAATATATATAGTATATTATATTATAAATATTTTATTATTTTTATAACTCAACCACAGTATTCGTGAGTCCATATACTATAAAAGATTATAATTGTCGGTATTTGGTATTTAGTATTTGGTGAGTTGCGTTACGACATTTATTTGAAATTTCAGATTAAACTATTAGCTGATAAGGCTTAATTTTATAACGATCAACGCTACACTATAAACACTGTGCCTAGACTTACACTTGGGTCTGTGTGAAAAAAGTGTACACTAATGTTACACTTTTTTAAAATAAACAGCGTGTAAGACTACACTTTTTCAAAACAAACCCCGGTGTATACTTGTTGTGAAAAAGTGTACACTTTTTCACAAAACGAAAAACCTATTATATACATATTAAAGTATGACATTTCTCGTCATCGTTTACATCATAAAAATAGTTATGCATAAAAAATTGACGGAAAACGTTTATTTATATACGTACGATTAACGTTATTATGTCAAAATTGTGATACTAATAGAATAAAAATTAAATAAGTGAAATTATACGAATAAGCAACATACATTTATCAAATATTTATAAATGTTCATAAGAACTTTTAAAAATATGTTGTTTAGTTAAATTTTAAATTTTTGTAAATATTTAACTATATATACACAGTATTAATAGTAATATAAAACTAACATTGTAAATACAAATTATCGTTTGAAGGTAAAATATTTAACGCTATTAATATAATTATTTTATAACTTAATTATTACTTAGTACTGTATTCTTATAATTTTCTCATTAAATGTCGTCATCAATCTGCAACTGATGTATAATTTAACATACTTACATTATTTAATAGTGTTGGGCTGTTGGTCTCGTCAGTGAAATTTATAGAAATACAGTAATGTTGTTGATCATATGATACTATTTTGGTCCACAAATCAAAATTATAATGAAATAATAACTAAATGTCAATGATGTAACCACTCATGTTCAAAATGTGAATGTTGATTTAAAATTTACATTTACTGTGAATGTGTAAATGTGAATATTACTACCGTGTATATATAATATATGTGATGTTCTTAAAAATATATTATTAAACCAGGTGAATAATTATTTTGCTAGTTTAACTTCCTCAGATTTTGTCTACTGTGTGATTATTGGATTTTGTTATTTTGATTTCACATTTTTGGCTCTTATTATTAATAATTTATTAATTATTAATAATTTATGAGTTAATTATTTATAATAACTTTTGGAACATATTTCATTGTATTACGTACAGTAAAAAATCCCTAAAAAATTTGTTTCGTTAACAAAAAGTCTGTATTGCATTTAGGATTTAAGGATAAAATGTGATTATAAATAATATTTAATTAAAAAGTGCAGAGCTCAACAATTTAAGATACTTAACAACTAAACAATTATTTAACGCCAAAGAACGAACATATACTTTTATAAAGTAGTTTCTTGTTATCAAACAATTTATTTAGTTGATGAAAAGTTAAATGTTATATGAACTAGAATTCAGCAAAATAATAAGTACAGTGTCTATGTAGGTCATACTTATCATTTTCATCTGTCTAAACTGGGAGAGATTTAAGATGCTACAAACTTATTTATTTATCAATGAGGATAACTTGGTATCATCGTGTCAAGATTAAACTCTTAACCTCAGTTTAAAATTAAACTACGGTCTGAATCATTATTATTTTATTTTTTTCTTATTTAACTAATCCCAGTTTAATTGTAAAGATCACGTAGTATAGTTAAATCTTCATGAATTTATACCTCTAATAGTTTTTTAATTTATTCGAAAGACCTATTATTGGGAGGTTTAATTAGATTTTTCCCGAGATTATTCTATAAATCTCAATAACCTCATTATTATAGTTTGGTTGGATAATAATTGTACACATTGAATGACATCTTATTAAGACAATTATATAGGTTATATAATATCCTATTGCTAATTTATTATAACACTTTAATTACTCGACAGTTACAAAATAAATTTGAACTTATTTACAGTAAATATGTATGTATTTTTAAATTAAAAATAAAATAATAAATCTATCCTAATATTTATTCTTTGATTGTTTTATTCTTATATTAGCATTGACTAATGACAAACACATATGAGTGTAGCATAGGGTGACCAGACATCCCGTTTACAACGGGACTGTCTCTTTTTTGACACATCCCGTTGTCCCGACAAACTTTGAATGGGACGCTTTTTATCCCGTTTTTAGAAGATTGTCCCGTTTTAATCCCGTTATTTCCATATTATTTATTATATAATGTATTAAAGTTTATAAATAAAATATCTATGTACGAAAAAAGTAATTATAAATATTAAATAATTGTTAAAATCAATAAATTTTTCCGAAAAGTACGAGAAAGCAGAAGAAAGTGTAGAATAAGGTTTAAAAAATTCAAAAATAATGGAGATAGCTGATAGTATATAATTTTCCTTAAATATGTTTGTAGATACAACCTATCAAAAATTAAAAACTAAAATTGTAAATATTTGACATGGAAACAAACGGAAACCAATTCGGCCAAATGGGAACTCATTCGATTACTCCCATTCCTTTCTTCATAAAACCCACCCAAAGGTGATAATTACAACAAAGGGCTAAAAACCGGTATTCAATATTGCTTTTGAATACCTACTGATAAAAAAGAAAACAGAAATCGAAGTAGGAAAAGATTTCATTTTTTAGATTTGCTAAGTACAGTATATTTTGTAACGAAAATTCTATCTAAGTTACACTTAGCTTTAGCTATATACTACGATTATTTTCTTTAACATTTAATTCATTAAAATTTTGTTCACGTGTTATTTTTCGTTGTTTTATTAAAAACCGTTGTAAACATTGTTATATTTTAAGTATTTTATATAGGCTTTTACAAAGTCAACATATTATTATTTTACTTGTATTGGTTTACCGACTGATACATTTTGATACTTTACTTTTTTTATGAATAATAATGAAGGATGTATTGTATACTTTAGTCGTAGAATTTGTTTTAATTTTTTATTTTCGCCAATTAGATAAATTTTTGATAATAAATAAGAAACTCAATTTTTTTTTATCGCATTTATATATATATTTTTTCTTTTAAGAAGTAGGTATTATGAAAACAACTGCAAATCCAACAGTTAATTTTTATGAATTTTAAAATATATCTTACTACTTTAGTATTAATTAAAATTTATAAGTTTTAAAAAAAAAATATTGACTCTTCTACCATTTTTGCAAAAAACTACTAACGTTTTTATTACCTTATTTAGGTATATAACATATAATCTAATCAGTTTAATGATTTTATGTATAGTTTTTGAATACGTTATAAAATATTTTACCACTTATTCAATGAAACATGCCTATTAAAGAATAAGTATTACTCAATAAGTATTTTTAAGTTGTAGATAAAACAAGATAAAGTAAAATTGTTTTATATGATTTAAACACACTGAAATAGGCTTATATTTAATAGTATAAGTATTTATATATGAAGTATAAAGATGAAATAATTGATGCAAAATGTATTAAACACGACTCTATTTACTGTAATTATGTTCTCGTATAAGATAAAAATGAACCGGATAGAAATCGACCAAAATACTGTATACTTCAATATATACAGACATATATAAATAAACAAATAGTTTATATAAAAAAATAAAAAAATAAAAACTTAGGCTGGATTATTATTATATTTGTAAAGTAAGACCGGTTTCGAATTAAAAAAAAAACATAAGATATGTATAAAGTTAATAAAAATTGCAACTGATTATGAAAAAATAATTGTGATTTTATTTTTTTATGTTCAGCGGCAATTTTATTAATTTTGTATAAACCTGATGATAATTTTTTAATTTGAAACTGGTCGTACTTTATAAATATAATAATAATCCAGCCTAGGTTTTTTTATTTATTTATTTATTTATTTATTTATTTATTTATTATTTACAAGTATTAATCTTTTATTTATTTTTAATTTTATTTAATTTTTTTATTATTTTATTTATATGTATTAAAATATTTTTTTTTCTAAATTATTTCTATTGATATCAGATTACATATGCGCAATATAATTTTATACTAACGTATAGTAAAAATTTTACTTTTTAATAATTTTACAAAATTATAATGTGTCATCAGTTCTCATGTGCAGCGATGACAATGTTAATCATTTTTCTTGGCGTTTTGTATTTGAGTAAAAACCAGCACAACATTAATTTTCAGAACTGTTTGACACAACGATTCAAAACATATAAAAAGTTGGTTTTTTTTTTCTTGTTAAATCGTTTTCATGATTCTCTCTTTTTTTATTTTTTTAGTCAGGTATTACGTTTTAATATTATTATTATTTTTGTCTTATTTTTATGTATAAATTATTCATTCTTAAAATTCATATTACTCATACTTATAAAAGTTAATTCATTTTTAACTATGGTAATGCTTATTTTGAACATGTTTGGATAGAAAATGGGGAGAAAATTTAAAAAAAAATAGTATCACTGCAATAAATGTTCACTATATTACATATTCTGTAATATTATTTAAATAATATAAATGTTAAATAAAATGTTAATATTTTACACCTACAATGTACTTTTGTTAGTTAATGTACTGTTTCGGTTTTAGTAAACAATTGTTTAGACTGCATCGTTGAATCATTGCTATGAATGTTTACTGAGAGAAAAAATTGTTTTGAATAAGACCTGTATAGAATTTTATTCATTATCATATTAATCCAATGAATCTATTGAAGTGAATTCAATTTTTTGTCCGATTTATTTGGTTTTATAAGAATTTAAAATATGGCTTTTCTATTTTTGTTGGTACTTAAATTAATAAATTGATTAACATTCTTATATTCACAACAAATACATGATAACGAGTATAATGTGCTGTTTGATATTTTGACAACATTATTTATTATGCTTGCCCTTGATCTGTCTATGTTGAAAGTTCACCACATTGGTAAATTATCTATTTTGTTTCTATATTGTATAATGGATGTACATTTTACATGATAATAAATTAATAAACACCATACGGAGAACTCAATAATATTATGTGCACATAACAACAATGTACATAAATTAATAGCGCGTTTTAATGGATTCTATTTGAAGGGTAAATGTTAAAAGTTAATTGAAAGGACTGACAAATAAGTTTTATACTTCTATTGAGCTATGGCCAAATCGTAGAATTGTAGTCACGCCTATATATTTATTTATTATTTATCGACGAATTTGATTTTGTTTACGAGTAGTTTCAAAGATAACGAATTGCTTCTTATTTGATTTTATTAAACAGTGTATATAGGTATTATTGCAATAAGATTTCAATTAAGTGACCGATTAAGCAAACTATTTAGAAATCGTGATTGAACATAATTTTTCTGTTATATAATCGAATTTTGCTCTATATCGATGGAAATAATCAACCCCCGAATATTAATCATAAAACACGATTAGAGTAGTTAAAAATAGTGATTAAGTAGCAAAATAGAATTTCAACTATAAAGTATACATACTATATTGTTTTTATAACAATTATATAGCATTAATTTTAACATATTTAATTATATATACGTAAAAGGCCGGCCCAAGCAAAAATAATACACTAGGAAAATTCAATATTGCCGCCTATAAAAAAAAAAAAAAAAAAATGAGCTCTCATTTTAACTTAACCTCTCCCCCTATTTTTTATGTGACATCTACATAAATAAATATTAAAATGTTTTTCTTTTAATATATACAAAGACTTAAAAATTATTTCTATAATTATTAGTAACAATTAGTGAAGGGTTTTGAATAATAATTTATTACTCAAAACCCTTCACTATATATATCGTGACTATCAGAAATCACGGAAGTGACTGTGGGGTTATTTATATTTTTGGAATAATTGAAAACGCCCAGCATAGGCCGTAATATAAAGTACTATAATTTTTTAGACAATATTATTTTATTATATAGATATATAAGTGGTTTTCACGGATGAATCAATTCAAAAAATTTTCATAGAAAACACGGATAGAAATAAAAAAAATTTACGAGTCAATTTTTAAAATGCCGCTCTAAACAGGTGCCTAGTTCGCCTATACCTTGAGCCGGTCCTGATTATATATATATATATATATATATATATATATATATATATATATATATTATATATTTACTGTTATGAAATATTTTTAAATGGATTTTTTTTTGATATTCACTACTAACTACAATGATGATAATTTATTATATTAAAAACGAAAATTATGAACGTGATAATGAATCATATATCATATAATTTGTGATATTTTTCAATTTTTGTACTGAGTACTGTATAAGTCAAATTCACTGTTGAATTTAATTTAACTTGCGATGAATTCATATACAATGTATTTTATTTTAATAAAAATTGAATAAATGTGTGAATTGTTTTTTAGGCAACCTCAATACTTCAGTATTGGTTCCGTCAGGGTACGTTTTGGTCCGATCTCGGCCAAAACCGATGTCACCGTGGCTCCATCTAACGGTGATTTTCAGTTAGATGCCGACACGAATGAATCGTCGTGCTGCTGCGGAGTAACATCTCGAATCCCTCTTCCGACCGGATCTAATAATAGACACACTACTGGCGCTACTTGTCTGTCCCGAGTACAGGCGCCAGTATACCGTAGTTCATTGGATTGGTCTAATCGCGTTCAAAAACCGTCGTCCGGTTGTTTCGGGAAGTTGACCATCGATCGCGTTCCGTTAGTTTCCAAAATCAGTGAAGAATCGAAAAGTCCACTTTTACAAGAACAAGAAACCACTACTCTGGACCGGTTCCAAAGGTTTCGTTTCGGCGGTCGCAACAGCAGGGGTGGCGCCCAAAACAAGAAAACCAAACAAAACGTGGCACCGAGAACTACGGACAAATCGGACCGGCTGAGGAAGCTGACGGACAAGTTGAAGCAGCCACCGGCCGGTGAAACACAGACGGTACAGCCCGAAAATGAAGGTCTGATGGGTAGTAAAGCCACATCGACAGCTAATCTGAGTAGTGAGGAATCGTCGGACAAGTTTGAAGATGGTATTAGGAAACCTGAGTCTAGAACTATAGTCGGTTCCTATTATCAGAGGTCCATACCGTTTAGAAGTGCATCATTTTCCCAAGTGTACTACTCGCCATCAGACGGTAAATACATAAGGTCCGATGGACGGAAAAGAAACACGCTAAATCCCGTTTGTCTTTCACGAAAAGCTCACTCTTCCGAACCAGTGAGAGCGTATTCTCAAGACCATCAAGATGGTATAGACACACCAACGCCTCCTAGAAGAAAAAATAAATCGATCAAATCCGAACAGTCCAATCAGTCGGACGTGGCCATAATCGAAGAATCCCTAGAGGTTTCGGTTAAAGAATCGCCCGAAGAAGTGGCGGAAGAAACATTTTTATCCGAGTGGAAATCTGAGACTGACGGTATTGTCCATAACGCCGAAACGAGCTGTACCGCAACACCTGTTGAATCTCCCAAGGAAGAACCGCAAAGTCCGGAATATCCGCAAATGCCTCAATGGTCATCTCTCACGGAACTCCCTCTCCTACGGCCTAAGTTGTCCGCTCAGAGTTCCGAAGAGAAAGACGAGGAAAAAGTATGTTCTTCACCGAAAGTGAACAATTACCGCCAGTATCTGTTATCGAAAGCAGATTCGTTTTCCGAAGGTGATAGCGATCAAGGAAATCACAGTCAAACTTTATCACCGACCAGAGACTGTACGTCGTCGCCGTGCAATGATAACTCGGATTCCGAAAAGAACTCTGGTCCACCCGTGCCGTACTCGAAGAGACCGCTTCGTGGCCCTTATTTGGAGATGATTGTCAACGAAAAGAAAAAACCTGAAGTCAACGGAAAAAAGCAAGATGACTTGAAGTTCCTCGACGAGTATCCTAAGAAAATCCGATCAGCTGACGATTGTCATCTGAAAAGAAGTTACACGTCACCCGACCAACCTTCCGACAGACTAAGGCTAAGAACATCTCCAAAAAGAAAAACTAGTGCAAATTTACCGTTGTCGGGTACGGTCGGAAAGAAACATGGTGCAAACGAAACAATGGTACATCACCAACGAACGACATCTAGTCCAAGTCAACTAGAAGGATGTTCCCGAGTAAAGAAAACCCCTGAGCCAAGTCCTCAGTTGTTAGCACAGTTGTTGAAAGGAAGCTCAGAACAAGTGTACGGAGGACCTTTGACCAATCCATTAAAGGTAAATCACATTTTATCATTTTTAATTTGTAGCTTAGAAAAATTTACATTTTTATAAATGTGTGTACTCGTTGAAATTAACGTACTTCTATATTTAAAATTATTGTGTGATTTCTAAACATCTATTGAATGGTGAAATTGCTATAATTAATGGCATGTAGAACAATTGATATTTTTTTAAAAGTGTACACATTTATTATATTTATATTATTCAACCGGGTATCGTGGGGATGATGTTTAGAAAATAAATTCATTAAAGGTAGTAAATTTAAGCTTTTTTGTTCGAAAATTGGCACATATTTATTTTTTATTTTTAATATTATATTTTTATTTATACAAATTACAATACAATAATTATTATTTTATAAATTAATTTATAAGTAATTATAAATGACTACTTAGAATTAAATTTTTTTATTTCAATTTTAAATGAAACCTGGTATCCAACTTTTCAAGACTTTATTTTTATACAAGTAATCAACCGCATAAGAAACATACAAGAATTTTGAATAAAAATTAAATGAATCTAAATATTATTAAAAATATACATAAAATTAAAAAATCTTAATTAGAAATCCTATTAAATAACAAATATTTTTTTTTAAACAGTAGCAAAAATTATTTCGAAAGCTTAATGTTATTTTATTTAATAAATTTCTTCATTATACTTCGACTAAGCATTTATAGAGTATATAATCTCGCTGTACATATTATGTTATGTGTACATTGATTATGAGTTAATAAAAATTGATATTGAATATATAATATATAATATTAATGATATAATTTTATAATTTAATATTAAACATGTTCAAATTCTACGATTAATGAAAAATATATATATATTTGAATTGATATATGATTTCAAGTATGTTCAACAATTATTTTTATGGATTTTGTTACGTTTTTTCTCCACCGCCTTTGACATTATAGTATTTTTTTAAATATTTATTTTATTTTTTGGTTGGTACGTATTGAATGTAAGAATATTAATATTAATATTTATTAATATAATATTAATATAATAAGTGTAAATGTCATTTTCACGGAAAACAGACATCTCCAAAATATTTGTGTGACCAATTTTATTATACGATATATTTGATATATATTTCGTATATTTGATTGTGAATTTTATTAATAAAAAATAAATCATGAAAGCACTTTTTGTATAAAATAGTATGGCATAATTGCTTTATTTATTATTGTTAGTATTTACGTTAGTACATGTGTGTCTTAAATACTTAAATATATTGTTCATGAATTTGAGCAAGGTTATTTACTCATATTTCAAAAAAATAAAAAATAAACATAAAAACGTATATGTTATAACGTTTTTTATTTTATTTTATTTTCCATGTAGTTGTTGAAATGTCAACGTGTAACATTATTGTATTGGTTACAATAACTTTTTCCTTAAACTATTAATAAATATATCTATCTATAAATTATATTTTAAAAATAACTTCTTGCAACTCTTTATCACGTAATGGTATATTAAATAATGATTATTTTGAAACATATCTGTTGATATAAAGTATACACGAAGATTCTCTAAATAAATTACATCTATCGTTTTATTATTTTGTGAAATCAAAATTGAATGAAAATAATCTATGGAAAAAAATATGAGGTTTTCTCTCTCTCTCTCTCTCTCTCTCAAACACTCTCTCTATTTATGTCTCTCTATCTATCTATCTCTCTTTCAGACGATTTATTCACTTTTTCTTTACGTAGAAATAAATGCCCGCGATTTATAATGAAATTTAACAAATAAAAGTATTTGTAATTTAATTGCTTTTATGAGTATAAGCAGTTAAGAAATGTATCGAAAGCAAGAATGTAACACATTTTTAATAATGCGTTACATGAATTATATATTCATATATACTAAGACAGAAGTCTGAAATAAGTATTGTTTCGTTTATTTTGTGACACACTTTTGCTCTAATTTTAATTTTCTGTGTCAACTGGAAACAGATCTCACTCGACATAACATATGTAATTTACTCAGGGTGGTCTATTAAGTTTTTAATTGTTTGTAATTTTAGGACAAATTCCAAAGATTTTCCAGAACAAATACTGTAATCTACCTACGAGTTAATATTTTTATTCATGTCTATTTGTTATTTAAGTTTTATCTTAAAAATGTTCCAAATCATGATTTTTTTTTTCCTGTAAATAGAACGTATATATTAAAAGCTATATGAAATTTGACATGTTTTACATGTTAATTAATTCGTGTTTTAATACAAAACGTTTTCCCACGTATAGTACCTATTTTATTAATTTTTATTTATTATAAACTAATTAATTATAGTTTATCAACAACACTTACTAGCTATAGCTAAAGCTATAGTTTGCAAAATTAGTTTACACAATCGATTTTTGCGTTCACAGCAAATATAACATGTACGCGTGTAGCTTGTTTGATACTAGTATTTGCAACGTTTTACAATTTTATGGTGAAATACTGAAATGTGATGAAGTGTAAACATTAAAAAAAAAAAAAAAAACGCTAAATGAATTTTTTGTTATTGACACACACCTATCCGTTACCTTATAAAAAATACGCTAAGATAGTGAGGTAATAAATAATTTATTTACGTGTCCAAAACACCAGCTCATCCAATAGGTACATAAATGCGTGGGAAATAGTAATTTTCATAGCTAAAATGCAGACAGATTTAATTTTTAATTTTTATAAAAGTGAGTATATAAATTAAATTAATTTGCAAAGAGTTATAATGAAAATTAAAAATAATAACAACTATAAGTTTGTAACTTTATTAAACGATTTAGTATGTGAACATTTTCGAGACAAATCGAGTGACAGTGTAAGCATGTCATACTATATTGTACATTCCGTGCTGATCTTATGTATACTAGATCGGTGTAAATTTATTCTAATATAGGACGCATATGGCGATATATTAATTTAAATCTCAATGTTTAACATAAAGTTAACAATTTATTATTATTTTTGTTTCGTAATAGATTAAGAATGCGTTTACTTATTTCGTTTTGTCATCGTACAAATAATAACAATACACACCGTTAAGTTGTGTTATACTATAAAATGTGTAATTTATTGAAGTCGTGAACTTGTTGCTTTTTCGGTTAAACTCGTATATCACAAATATTACGTATGATAAATCATTGATCAACAGCAACCACGTGAATGACATTGCAGTAACGATCATTTTGGCTATTGCCGTACCTGCAACTGTCGAAGTTACGCATGCGAATCATGTATATAAAAATCATTATTTTTAAAACTCCCAAAAAATGCTCAGTTATCCTGCATTCGCTTTTGATGTTACGGTAATTAGTCTACTGTTGATTTAATATTTGTTAAACTGTTAGAAAACATGTCATCGATGATCATGTAGTAACTCGTAAAAAGATTATTGCATCTTGAAGGACGACGAAAGTGAACAATTGTACAGGCACAACAATAACAGAGTAAACAAAAACTGCAACTATTATATAAGGTGTCGATGACGTCTTTTGTTGTTTTCATCAGACTAAATATTACATTGTAGTACAGCAACGGTGGGCGGGCGGTGCCCTTGGAAATAAAAATTCAAATTGCAGTATAAATTATTCTTGTGGTACGTAGTGTGTTGTACTGCGCACGTGGATATTAGCTGGTTGAAAACGCAAAGATGAATTTAAATTTCATGTTTAACTTAATTATTCAGTTGTACACTACAACATTCAAAGGAAAAATAAATCAGTCGACTTGAGATCAACAGACATTGAATGTGTGCGCATAGATGTAAACTACGAAGTGTACCGTGATGACCAATTTTTTTTTTTTTATGAAAATCGTTTCAATAATAATTCGGTCTGTAGCAATCGTACATGTTACAAGTTGAGATCGGTTGACTCCGAACGTACCCGTGGTGCGCCGGACACACGATACTTCTTTCGTCTGCTTCGGCGCATTACCCTACGATTGACTATTTAATCGTATTTACTGTATTTAATCGTGTGTCGCTGGTTATACTATTGCACATAATACTGTCAGTATTCGTATAACTATTAATAGTAGAGAAAAAAATTAAAAAAAAAAAAAAAAAATAACGAATCACACGGATTATTATACACCGCGTTCGTTAAACGTTGGCCGACGGTGGGGTTTTTATATTCTTTTAGAAAGCGGGTCCGTAAGTTGTATAGTCGCAGGCATCATTTCCCGTCTCCGCCGTCCCTGACAGCATCAAAAATAGAAGCTCGTACGATAGTCGCTGCCACCGCCGCCGCCGCCACCACCGTAGTAGTGGTGCGATGTCGAGTACACCATATAGCGTTCACAAAATGATGTCATAATGTCTGTGCGCTAATTGCTTGTCGTTATTTTCCGTCCGGGTGGAAAGATAGAAAGAGAAAGAGAGAAAGATAGAAACGTAAGAAAACTTAACGATATATATATTTTTTCTTGATTTCCCACGGTCCATGTCACTTATGCGCTGCAGACTAACACACACGTGAAACATGCCCACTACTGCGTATACCTGTACGTCGACTGCTTGCGATTCCGATCGAGACTGGTTGAACAAATCGTTGTTTTTTCAATTTTTTTTTTTTTCCAAATCATTTTACACGTTTGTTCGCATCGCAACGTGGTTTAAAACGAAAAATAGCGCGTGACAACGGTCGACACGAAACATTATCGTTTTCGAGATAAATATTAATACTGTGCATATGTATCGCATGCACGCACGCGCGCGCGCGCGTGTGTGTATGTGTGTTAAGAGCACACATACGTCGGTGCATTAACCTCCTGGAAGATGGACATTAAAACCATAATGTGTTTATAGGATATTATTAAACTAATAAGTTTCGTAAATCACTTAAACAGCATATAGTATCCAAACATTATACGTGTTTTCTTTTTTCACATGTGAACGCTGTCCAAGGGATCATTTTTTTTTTTATTCTTGGCATTAATATTGAAACCGTTGCTCTCCGGCTACGAATTTCAGTAAATAAAAT